ATATTATCGAGCAATCAGCTGAATCAAGGTGACTGCAATCATACGCTCACTCACTACCTGGAAATGACCCATTACCTCTGCAACACAGGGGCCAGGGGAGTATTTTCCTGCTGCTTTTGAAGAGGACATAGCTGCTGGAGCAGGCATTGGGAATTTGGAAAACAAAACCTGAGTGTTTTCTATTCTAATTACACTACAGCCACATGTTTTGAATAATGTAGCCATAAAAATAGAAAGACGCCAGGAGAACCAGATGGGGAGATGTATAGAGAAAGACATTATTCCACAGAGCAGAGGGTGATTCAGTCTGTCAACGCCCACAGAGCCTGCCCATCCTTATAAAATCAATGATGGCTCACCAAGAACATAACATGACATTTAGCTTTAAACCCTGCTTTGGAACTCCCACACAGACACAAAGGCATTATTAAAAAAAATTACTGAACACATAACAAAGATACAGATATAACGATGGTCTGTGACAAATGATCAAATGGCACTGCACCCTAGGGCGTCTTGATGACATTTACTCTTAAATCAACACACATGCATTCCAGCACACTTTCTTCCCTTCACACGCACTGGAAAAAAATTAAGCTAAAACATAATGAGAGAATCAGCAAATACAGAAAGATGCGCAAAAACAATAAGGCCTCTCTGAGCTCTGCAATGAACAAATAATCAGTTACGTGATGATCTTGTAATCACATTAGAGATAAAAATCCCATTATCTCCTGATTATACATCAGCCTTTGTGCTCTCTTCAAGTACCCTGTGGAACAGCCACCCAGAATGATGGAAAAATGAACAAGCTGTTTCCCCTCTCAGCCCCCAGTCCTACCTTAGCTAAACCATACCCTCACAGAACCCAACAGTGTAGTCAGAGAGCAGACGCTGAACACAGCCTGTAAATCTTCCTTCACTCATAGCACTCACTCAGGGAGTAGAGATTAAAATAAAACTTATTTAGGTGCCTCTGTGAACCAGTGACTGAGGATGTACTCCCAGAAATCCAATTAGTGGCAGTAGAAAATACTAAATTTCACCCTTTCATTCATCCAGCACTCATGCATCTTGGTCCATAATACCATCCTCCATTAGCCATCTTCCCTACCCTTTTTGCCTCTAGTGTCTCCCACAGACACACTCACAGCCACTTTGCTTTTACCCCATGTCTCTCTTATGTTCTTTTCTGTCACTTATCTCAATTTTTCCTACTCTCTTCCTTATTCACCTTTTATTATCACGCTTCACTCTCACAAAACCCGCAGACATCTATATCCACTGTTGGAATATCTGCCTCTTCACTTCAAAGTTGCAAAAAGAAGCTCCACTGTAGCACTTCTTCAAAAAAAAAAAAAAAAAGAATGTAAAGGAGACTGACATCTTGTGAGCTATGGTGTCATGCAACCTAGAGCCACAGAAAGGTTGCGATGGTTGGCTGGGGTGAGATGATTGGGTTGCTTTTAAGGCCCACTTTGAGAAATGGGTCTTCACTCCCCTTTACTGCTCCAAAACCTGAGAGGCCTAATGTCACATGCAATAAGAGACAATCTGGCAGCAGAGATTCAGTTACAGACAGCTGTCTTATAAGACACCTTTCTCTCTTCCTTTGATGCACTCACCAATTAACAGGAGGAACAAATTAAAGCCATGCATCTCAAACAATCACATAAGTAAAGAAGCAGACGAAGAAAAAAGAAATGCCTCCTTCAGAGAAAAATAAGACTTTTTTGTTTCATAGCAGTGCCCCCGGATGATTGTGTAGAATACGCATGTGTGGTCTGTGAGCAGAATATTGAACATTTCATTTTACCCAACCCATTAAGACAAAAGATTGATTCTCTATCTAGAATTCACAGAAGCAATTAAGTGTAAAAGTCTGTTAGGGGCCATTATACCTAATGCAAGTTTTCTTTCACTCCGCAGTACAATAGTTTTACACTGTTGGGACAACTGCATCTATCCAGATCAATACTAAATGAACTCCATATTCAAGCTGAATGTAAGCCCCTTAGACAAGCTCAGTGCTAAGTTACATGGATACAATGATATTATGGAGTGGACGATAAAGAGCATTTAAGAATGACACACATCTAATCTGGTCTAGACTGTCGTAAAATCCATGAGACTATTCACTACGATAACAGGGACACTAAAAACATCTGGCTTTGCACTCCAGACAAAGCTCCATCTTTGACAAAATAAAGAAAGCAAAGATAAACCTTTATTAATTTTGCAAAGCTCTCTTTCAGAAAATCCTCTTTATTTGAGGTGGGAAGAAGTGGGGTGGGAACATGCACAACCTCCTACGCATATTCCTAAGAAGTAATCCAGAAGGCTGTTCACTGGCGTGTGCAGCACTCAGGCAGCTCCACAAAGGCACATGCAAATGAAGACTCAAGTGGAGCAACAGGGGAAGAGGGGACCAAACAGACTTGCTGTCAACTGCTGAGCACAAATGTGGAAAAGCTTAGCCTTGGAATCATTTTGATATTCAGGGGACCAAACACTCCACTGAAAGAACCACAAGTCACCACAACCCCCCCCCCAAAAAAACTCCATTCTTCTCCTCTACTGACAATTACTCTTCTTTCATCTATCTACAAAGTGTGTGACACAACAGCTCAATTAATTAAAATGACTTGGAAATCCCTAAAATAGAAGCTAAAGTGCTAGCAATAAAACTAAAGTACTTAAATCATGATTAAACATAACAATCCTTCAGACCCTAAAAAACAAAACAAAAAAACAAAAAACAGCCTTATTATTCCAGTCTAGTTCTAACACTACTCTGTAAACACAACTCCCTGCCAGTGTGTTAGGAAGTTATACATGCTCCACTTAAGCTATAGGAAGTGGAGGATGGCATACTTTTGCAAATTGTTGCACAAACAGATTGGATGGCCTGGAGGCTCTGATGTACAACAGTTGTTTAACACCTGAATTGTACAGACTGTACGGATGAGGTAATATATGCAGCTATTAAGTATAAGAGATACTCATGCAAACATGAAATCAGAACTTACATTGCCAAGGTTGATAAAACCATGCTCCCTGGCGATGCGGTCAGCCTCCTCTGGCCCCCCATTGATCTGGACAGCCCAAGTGTTGGTGTAGACCTCTGCGGCATCAGTCCACATCAATTCAGTTGTTAGGAGGACAAGGACTGTCCATAAGTGCAGCAGGTCCACCCTGGCATCCATGAAAAGGAGAACACTTCGCAGGGCGGCCTCTCTGTCTGTCTGTCCCTGCTTCCCGGGCAGAGCGGGACTGCTCTGCCTCACAGCAGCAAAGTAGAACAGTGGCCTAGAGATGAGACGAAAGAGCTAGCTATAAACACAAACATGGCCTTCTTAAGTGGGTCACTCTTGGGTCTGAATTACCTACTGCACAAACACAAAACTGCAGCAAAAATAGAGTACACCCACAGACCCAGTCCACTGTCAAATTCACAATTAAAACAAAAACAGATCATAATGAATTAACGTTAGGTAAAAACAGACAAAGGCACTGCCATAAACAGAATTATTTTTCAACCCTCCCTCGTCTTTTTCAGACCTAAAATGGTAATGTATGATAATGACATACAGTAGGCATGTCGCTGCAATACAGGACAAGCTCCAAGCAAACCAGAACACAGCCTGTAGTGCCAGCTAGAAAGACAAGGCATCTGAGGGTGAGGACGTTTAAATCTCACTCAGACACTGCTGTTAATTTTAACATTTTTATTCAACGAACCCATTTTTAGATTGAAGAAGTGCTGTTACACATATTTTAAATGAATAGTAAAATAACAAACATGATAAGAAAGGACAATTTTGAGCAGATGTTCAAATAAAAAAAAACAAACAAGATTTTCAGACTGCGGGCCTTTGATTTGTAGCCCTTTGAGTTGTGGGAAAGGTAAGTCACACATAAAAAGGAAAGCTTTGAGGCAAGTTAGCCGACTGTGAGTGAGAAGAAAGATAGAGATAAGGTGTGGGAATCCGCTAGGTATATACAAGCTCATACTAAGGAAGATGAAGAGGAGGGAGGTGATGCAGGTCTAAATGCCTGTCCAGTCCCACTGCTGATCCCACTAATGCGGCATCATGGTACTATTCACTGAGTCAGTCCTCGCTACACTGTTAGCTGGTGTGAAAAGAAATAACAGCTACTGAAAGAGTCTAATCTAAGTAAATTAAACTAATTTAAGTTAAGCTGGTTTTGTGGAGGATTCAAAAATTCAAAGAAAGAAAGAATTTCCAATGCAAACCCTCTTAGTGGGTACAGAAAGGGCACATGGACTGGTTGTCATTCTTACTGCCATAACAGGATTTTCTATAAAGTATTCCTTAATTTGGCAGTGGTTATAACCATCAGGTACAAACGATGACAAAAGAAAAAACAACAACTAAGTGCCTTAGTGAGGTGTTGGGCCACCACGAGCTGTTGCAGTAGCTTCAGTATGCCTTCACAAAAGTTCAAACTCTGATGGATGGTGCTGTCTAACACATCTGAACCCTCTCATAGGTGTTAAATTCCACTGGTTTGCCTCTAGCGCATTTCATCTATTTCCGCCATCAGGTCAAAATTTGTACTTTTACACAAGAAATATCAAAGTCTGCTTCCCAGCTGTGAGCTTTCCCCTGCCTCCATCCTAAGGTAAATTTGTCTACTTCAGTATCAAACCTCTACATTTTCTGTAGATATTCATGGTCCCAAAAGGACGAATCCTAATGACCTCCTTCCCTTTTCACTGCCTGACCTGAATCTCCGTACCACTGGGTAAACTGCAGTGAAAATTACTGAGCATGTTCAGTCTCCCCAAAAGATTGTCCCTATTTCGAGCTCTTAATTTTTAGATCTTCTCTTGCCCTGACTTGAAGTCATATTGTGCTCACAAGATATCTCGTGATTTGACTGTCATGATTTTTGCTTGGCAGTGTTAGACTCCCACTGAGATAAACCTTTTTAATTCTAACGACACTGTGGTCCTTCCTCTATACCCTAAGGACTGATTAACATTTTTATCTCCAGCTCCCTGAGGCTCTGAGAACTGCAAAATCGTCAGTGTGATAGCCATTCGGTCAAACAGTTTCAGATTGTGGTGCTGCTGTGAGGCTTTAGACTTTCAGTGTTGTTAATGGATTTTTGAAAAACAATAGGAGCCAATGTCTTCTGCAAGGTAAGGCAACCCTGTAGTAGAGCAGACTGTTCCACTGACTGAGCCGCTAAAGGTGAAAGAAAAAATAATGTGTTTTCAGAGCGCTGGCAGTTATGATGGCAGCAGGTGGCAGTGTCTAAAAACAGTCTGATAACACAAGCCCTTTACAGAAAAGTAAACAGGGTGCTCATTCTGACATGACACGAAGGACTTGACATGAACCTGACACCCTCAGATGCAGTTAGATTAATGGAAAGACTTCCATGTCTAAAGGGGGCTAATGAGCACCCCGGTCACTTTTCCCTAAACATTGTGACAGCAATCTTACTAGTCCAGACAACATCTACTTATCACTTTCAACACAGAGCAAGCCTGAACTGATAGGCACGCACAAGATTATGACAATGTCATGTGTTATTTGCCAGTAAGCACAAGTACTGTGGCTCTCTCTGTCACAGTCCAGGGTATGTCTGAATGAAGGAACGAGGAACATTAACAGAAAAGTGACCTATGTCTAATGACAGAAAGCATCACTTTAACAGACTGATGAAGGCAGCAATGTGACCTATCTGAAAAGTGCTACAGATGACGTGGTTGAAATAGTGAAAAGGGGCGGATGGCAGCACAGAGAGGGATATTTTAGTTATATGCTGACATGTTACAAAACAACATACCTATTTCTTTGCCCACAGACTTACAAGACTAAGAACAATTTAGCCTTTGTTTCCCAAAAGAGAAATCCTAAAAGTGACAAGATCTGTCACAATTGCTTAAGCTTCATTCATGTTAAACCTCTTAAAGTAAAAAAATATCCAGTTTTAGCAAATGCATAATATTGATTATCAGTAGTGAATTCGGGTTCTGTCAAGTAACTACCCCTTTCTCAACTCTAATTTAAAGTATACTGTACTGCACCTATTGGCAGTGGCCAATTTGAAGTGTGACAGTATAATTGGTTTCCAGGTAAGGCGCTGCTTTTACCTTTAGTGCTTCATAAAATCCACTGTTAAAAAAAAAGATACACATTTCAGAACATTTCATCAACACACAGGATGCCCTCCGCCTTCGTTTGCCCAATCAACTAGGCTATCCAAACTATTAAACAAGAAGAAGCTCACTCTATACATCTGTGGCTTCACACATACATTTAGGAGTGGGTGTGATTTGAGCGCACTAGGAGAGTTAGTGGAAACATGCCTATGGGCTGTCACTCTTCCCGCAGAGCAATTCTTCTGAGCTCATTAGATGCTATGCTGGAGTCACAAAAACAGGAGCAGGGGGCCTACTGTCACTGAGGGTGGAAGATGGGGAGAGGAAGTGAAAGTGGCGGGGGATATCCCCATCCCCCCCCCCATACAGCATTGCGGAAAATAATGAGCATATATTAAAACGATGCCCAAAACACCTCCTCTCAAAACACAGCCTGGAGAGGCATTAACAAGAGGCTGCTTGCTCCTACAATATACATCAAAGGCCTAAAACTGAAATGAAACGTCAACCTTCAAACCACAGAATTTAAGACATTAGAACCTAAACTACAATGCAAATAAAAACTTAGTTGCATAACCTTTTTTGATACTAATAGTACACTCGAATACGTGAGCCAGTGGAAATGCAGGGGCGGACTAATGACCTGTGGTATGCTAAAATAACACACCAACCTTCTGTTTCAATCCATTGAGAGACCTCTAAATGTGGTTCAGTATCTCATGGTGATAATGGCAAGATTTGTTTTAAATCAAAGATTCCTGCTTTTTTTTTCTTTTACGAGATTTTAAAAACACTTTCTCACTTAACAGAGCAGCAGCAGGAGCAACAACAGGTTGCTCCTATCAAAACACCCTGCTTAGACATTCTGAAGACATAACATTTTATGAGCAATCCTCTCCTCTCCCTCAGCAACAAAAAGCTGAGGTACCCTTGTGTAATGCACTTTTGCCCCCACCCCATCACTCCAGTGAAGGCGCTCAGTGCCCAGCAGGACAAGAGCGTGTTGCACAAACTAACCACAGATTGATTTCAGTCCTTTGACGCCCCCTCGCTATTCAGCTCCGCTGAAAAGAGATGGAGATGGAGATGGATCTGCGATGCATCAACAGCGTGCATTTATTATTGTCTTGATAACATCATTAAGCCTTCGGGCAACAGCCTCTACACTGCTGGATATTCTAGACTTGCAGCTTTATAGCTTTTAAAATCTTTTATGAGCTGAAAACCGACTGCAACACAAAGAAGGTCTAACAAGATCTGGGGAAGATTTTCCATATTATTAGCATGGCAAAAGTAATGTCGTATCAACAAGTTGTCAATATCATTATCAGTGTCACCTTTCGCTGCTCTTACAGGCTGTGTTAAGAGTTATACTTTACAATGATGTAAAGTGATTTGAATGTTAAAGCTGTGGTCAGACAAACACCTTAGCAAAAGGTATATTATTGGCTACAAATATTTTTATAATTTAATTTCAATTGAAGTGAACTGTTCATAACCTCCATATCTTGTACAGTATTTACTGCCTTCTTAGATAATGAAGCTTATTGTTTAATTGTAAAATATCTGGCCTCAATATAAATGTCTCTCTTGCCATTCTTTAATAACCAAATCTGAGGAATTCTTATATATACTAGTAGTCAAAACTTCAGACACACTTCCCCACTGAACTGTGTCCAATCGTTTGACTGCTAGTGTACAGCACATAAAGACTAATATCAGCCAGGATATATAGGTTTTCCTTTTACCACTAAAATATTCCTACTTTAAAAAATCCATTATCAGCTAGCTGTAGCTGTAGCTGAGTGGAATGATAAATACATGACTATCTGGTTGGACATAACTTCCACTTCTGATTAAAATACCACAGAATCAAACGCATTAAAATGTTTTACTTTGTAAGAATAGACCAACTCTAGATCTACCTCTTGCAATTAATAGTAGAAAAGACTAGAAATTAGAGGACTGGGCTTGAGACTACAAGGTTGCCAATTTTATTTTCCTACCCATCTGGAAAATGTGTATGACCTGGAAAACACTTGACCTCCAGCTGCTCCAGAACAACTGCTTAGGAAGCCTGCGGTCACATGAACATGTCCGGTAGCGCCGATGCAATGTATCTGACAAACAGCATGTGCATTCAATTAACTTTTTCTACATTAGTCTCACTCCAAAGAGATTCCATTACCATAATTTAACAAAATAACAGATCTACTCTTAATGGGGATGAACAGGCAATTTCCACTGGTAATGACAAGCACATGAAGCTATGACAGACCATATGCAGCACTCCAGCTCTATTTCAGGCTGCCCACCAGCCAAATCAACACCCACCATGTGCTCTAGGCTGCCCTCTCCTACAAATCCAAGGTACAGGAGAGGGCTGCAGCATTTGTGAAGTACTGCTGATAGCCAAGCATCCTCTCCTGAGAGAGAAAATTGCTCCAAGCACGAGCGTGATTGGAAAAGCAGACACACTGCACAGGCATGTTGTGTGCTCAGTCAGGACAGGGGTTCACAGTGAGCTGTACAGCGATCATCTGAGACACACTATGAAGTGAGTGAGAACACTGTTGACTGAGTACCACTAAGGCCTGATCCATCTTAGCTGCTACCGTCTCTGATAAAATATTGTCTAGGGTAGCAGAAATGTGTTCAGGAGAAAGATTCAATTCTTTAAGTAATGTCCCACAGAGAGTTCCAATTTTTAACTGCTATCTGAATCCTGGCATTGTTCCCTGTGTCAAACTTCCCTTCATCCACAATACTCCCTCTGCCCTAGTTTACAAGTGAGTTACTGTATACTGTTGACAGTATATACTCCTTTCTTCTGCACTGCATTCCTGTTTTATGCTTCTTATAAAATATGTGCTCAAAGAGCTCACAGCTAAAAAAAAAAAAATGACAAAGAAGGTGCATGTGAACCAATTAGTCCAAACTGTTCTTGCATCTGTTTCGGATGCCTCCTGGGCGCCTTCCTAGGGAGGTGTTCCGGGCATGTCCCACCGGGAGGAGGCCCCGGAGAAGACCCAGGACACGCTGGAGGGACTATGTCTCTCGGCTGGCCTGGGAACGCCTCAGCATTCCCCCGGAGGAGCTGGAGGAAGTGTCTGGAGAGAGGGAAGTCTGGGCATCTTTGCTTAGACTGCTGCCCCCGCGACCCGGTCCCGGATAAGTGGAGGAAAATGGATGGATGGATGGATGGATGTTCTTGCTTTATAAATATAACACAGAACCAACCCTTTTAATAGATTTGAGCTCCTAACTGGCCTGCAAGATTTAGGCCTCACAAACAAAGGGACATAAGATTTGTTTCACAGAGTAGCAGTGATGAGGTGAGGTGGTGTAATCCAACTGAGAAGGATGCTCAGGACTGTGCTGTTTGCCTCACTGGCTGGTGACCTTGACTTTATCCCTTGTCAGCATCCCAGTGGGCACTGCATAGAGGTATAAAGTAACAACAGTGACCGGATGAGTTCGATCACATAAAGTTGAGTTTTTCAGCCTGTTGGCTCAAACACCCTCTGCTTATCACTTTGCCTTTCTTAAAATAAACCCATAGGCTATACCTGATGCCAGTGTGAAGAGGAATAGTGCGTAGCTAAGTCTAAACCATTTCTGCCCGTCCTGAGAAGCAGAACTAAGTGAAATTGATTACAGCAATTCCCACCTTACACAGATAAAAGCACCTGATGAGGGGTTTAGCCTATTAAGGCTTCAGGGTGAATAAGTAAGAGAGAAAAGGAAAATGCAGGTGTGTGCGCAGGAGAGAAAGAGGCGAGGGAGGCCAGCGAGACAAATTTCAATTTACAAATAACATGCGACAGGAAACACAACAGTAACAACAAGCATGCTGTTAACTTACCAACAAATAACTTAAGAGAGGAAGAGCTGCGGATCAAATCTGGTCAGTTGTCGGGCTAAGTCATGTCTCCTCAAACAAAAAAGGTCCAGCAATACTGGACAAGAAAGCGTGTTGTCCAGACTGGGGAAGGATTTACCTGACTGGGAAGACTGGTGAGCGCAGTCTCCGCCTTGACCGAGACTTTATGCTAAAACAGCCGTCATGCTTTTCGCAAATACTCCCATTGTTCCCACCCACTCTGCCACAACTCCCCTCCCTGCTTTGAACACATTTAACTCGTCCGGTTGAGAAAAACTAAAAGAACCAAGCAGTTGTCAGTCGTACCTTTGCTACTCAAATGCCAACAACGACCGAAACGTCACGACTCCACATCCTCTTCTTCTTCCCCTGGGTGGAGATACCCTTTCTCCTGTGGCTTGACTTTCAAGTTTACATCTAACCCAACGCTGCGCGTCCGCTACTTATTCCAGGGGACGAATAATAATGCATTCCACACACACCCATCTTCCTCCAAAAGTGCGGAATGCAACTATCTCGTCTCGCTTGTTATCCGCCACCAACTTGTAACCATCACCATCGTTATATTTTGCCGGTTAACTTCAACCTCCGTTATTTTTTAACGATTTCCAGTAAGTCTTTAAATTATTTCACATGGCTTGTTTGCTGAGTATAGTCTGTTGGCATTAACTCACACAAGCACAGTAAATACATAGATATCAAGCAGGGGGAGAATAAAGGGTTACGAGCCAACACATTATAACGCCTCATTCCTGGATGGAGACAACAAAACTGCCACAAATCCTTTTCTTCAGGAAATACGTCACGTTAAGAGCCGACCGGACCATCGCGTATATGCTCGATTTGTATCACCGCGGTCGTTGAACGGGGTGGGTTACCGCTTTTAGACAGGTGAAACCAGGGATAAACTCGGCCAAAGTCAGGCTAATCTTTTTTTATTCGACATGAGAAGCTTGCTTTTCAGTATCTTGTGAAATTAATTAGTTCGTGGGATTGTATGATTGTAAATTCACGATGTATAACAGTAAAACATATTTATACAATAAAATGATATTTGATGGCAAAACCTCTAAGTGTATTTCTAGTAATAATTCAAAATATTTTGTTAGAATTATAGGAGTTTGTGTAGGTTCCAACCGCTACAAGGAATTCCGGGCCACGGCTGTAAGTAAAACACACATCCTTGCTTTCAAGATAGGTGATTTGTACCGCTGTATGTGAGCGCCATCTTCTGGGCATCCTTTGAACCTACACACACGGGTAAAACAGCACACTGTACGGCAGGGGGGGCCGTAACACAAAGCTTCCAGACCGACTCTGGCTCGCATGGTTGTGTGTACCGCGTTACAGACTGGTATAAGTGCAATCCAGCCCGCTTTCAGCCGCTTCCTCGTTAGCACGGTCCAAAGTTATACCGGAACAAGGCAGCACGCATGTGCCGTCAACCCGGAAGTAGATGGCTCTTATATTTTTATGGGTGTTTTCTCAATTTCACCAAGTTATGACAAATTTGCTGTTAACAGTGACTAATGTATTTTAACACCGGCTAGACAGAGCTTGGCGGTTCCAAATCTTTCCAAACCGTGTGGATGTTACATCTGAGTGCCAGCTCCACAGCAGGCTGTTTCCGAATACCTGCACTTTTGATTTAGCCTTACGTTGAGAGATCACAAAACCACAAACGACATATGTCATAACGTTATTTTGTTCTCAGAAACTACAGACAGAAAGAATACGTTTTAAGTGCCAGCGTTTCTTGGTGTTCCTGAAGTTGGGAAGATAGAAGTAGTTAGGCTGTTCATTTCTCATACTATCCCCTCGTTCTGCGTTGCACAATACATTCAGTAACTTAGAGGATGGACTTTCGTGGTAGGAGGCATGAGCGAGGCAGCAACTGGACCGACCCGGAGATAGTGGAGTTGCTCCAGCTGTGGTCCGACGAGTCGGTCCAGATTGAACTGGAGAGCTCACTGCGCAACCAGCGTGTATTTGACCGAATAGCACACGTTTTGCGCGAAAAGGGCATCTACCGCACAGGTGACCAGTGCAGGGAGAAGATCAAAAAGATGAAGCTCGAGTATCGCCGCATCAAGGACAACCACAAACTGAGGTCCTGGAAGTTTTATGACGTGATGGACAGGGTGCTGGCGAACCGACCAGCTATTACTTACTCCTCCTTGGGCGGAGCTGTCATAGCTCAACAGGTGTTTCAGAGCCCAAGCGGGCCTGATGCATACCTCCAAGGAGCTCCAGCGGGCTCCTTTGGGCCCGCCTCCTCGGGTGGGTTTCTGTTTGGTCAGCCTCCAAAAACTGGAGATCCGCTGGACATAAAATGTGAAGCTGTTGAGGACAGCATGCTTAACTCAGGTGCTGCGCCCCCTGAGATGTACTATGGGTCTGGAGATGACCAGGAAACTGATGGGCAGTCTTTACTGGAGCCAGAGGACACACTGGGTCGAGGAGAGAGTTCAACAAATACAAGGACCTCACCTTCAGGTTGTCAGTCCAAATACTGTCATGATTATTTGTAATGGCAGAAAATAGGAGTCAAGTAATGTTTAATTATCATTGAAGTTTTTATAAATTAAGTTCAGGAATATTCAGTTTAAGAGTGTCAGAAGTATAAGTTTATACTGGGTGTCATTGCTTGCCTTCTGGATGTGGCTGTTAACAGGAATCCCATATATAGGGCATGGCCTTCATCTGATGTGTGCCCATTTTAAATAGATCCTGACTGAGTGTAGGGGGGTTCATCTACAGAGGGTCACTGAGAAGGTGTAGTGGAGAAAACAAACAAACAGAATATAGTAACAGTGGTGCGGTGGGTAGAGCAGTCGTCTCCCAACCAGAAGGTTGAAGGTTTGAATCTCGGTACCTGCAGTCCACATGTCGAAGTGTGCTTGGCCAAGACACTGGACCCCCCATTGCCCGTGATGGTGGCACGTATGCACACAGCTGGACTCTGACTGTACTGTAGGGGCAACAATGACTGACTGATTCTTTGACACTTCTCATATCTAATGAGATGATTCTGTGATTCTGTTCCCTATCTTTCAGATTGCTGAATTGTCTTACAACTTATTGAACTGTTCGGAAGTATTGTAATATTAAATAATCATTGGGATAATTTGCCTGAATTAATTTAGTTCACATCAGACCTTAACAGCCTCAGATTTCTCTTTTGGGAAGGAGCTTAAGGTGGGAGAATTTTATTTTAAATTTGATCTCCTATCTTGGCTGTCCTCTAAGGATGTGTGTTGAGGGGAACCAGGGTTTTTGATGCATTTGTTTCCAGCACTGGCATTAAAACAGTCTTTCATATTGTTTAAGGCCTCATCTGTCTTTATTACGTAGGCCTACTGTCACATTATTATTACTATTACCTTAATTATCACAGTGTAACAAATGCCTCTTTTTTTCATGTCCCCAGGTTTTAGTGACCTGAACGTTGCAGGGTCTGCTACAGCTGACGCCCAGACTGTTGGTGGTTCTGTGCCACAGGACATATCTCAGCATCCCAGCAAGGAGGGTTCTCATCCCCTGACCTCTGTGAGACAGAGGAAGCATAGACGGGGTGGCAAAACATCAGCTAGGTGTGGTGCTCAGAGGAGCCTGGATAAAGCCCTGGCCAGCTTCCTGAACTGGCAGCAATCAGCAGAGGAGCGCCTCCTGTCCCTGGAGGAAGCGCAACTGGAGAGAGAGCTGCAGGCTGAGGAGCGCAGGGAACAGCGGGAGGAGAGGAGGGCGGAACAGGAGCGCCAGCATGAGCTCCGCTTGTTTAGTATGCTCACTGGGGCATTAGTTGCTGTTCGACAGGGTGCTGCGACCACTGCAACAACACCAGCTGACCTCTCTGTCTCACCCCAAACTTATCTGACCACAGGCACCGCCCCCCGTGTGTCGTCCTCTTTATCTCAGCCCCTTTCAGAAACTTCCACAGCGCAGGCTGTTTCTGCACAGGACACAATAAAACCAACAGCACCTACATCTGCCTGCAAAATGTCTCAGATTGTTTTGACAACGCTGGGAGATGGAAAAACCCCTGGCCATAGCAGGTACTTGTCCATCCGTGGTAACAACTTCCTACAGCATCATGGTATTCTCCAGGAGGGCTTTGAACAATACATCATGGACAAACACCATGACACAGACAACCCCGATGTGAGTTTGTGTCAAATAGTACCATTTACAGTTGTTGAATAGCTGCAATCTGTTAAAGTGATGAAATAATGATAATTTACAAGGCCCTCTTTTTTTCTTACTTGCAGGGTATAATCAATATGGGCACCAGTGAGAACAAACTATGCTATGATCTTCTTCATAGACGGGTACTATAAATAATACAGGCATGTTCTAATAATGCTGATTTAATGCTGTAGATTGTGGTGTTCTATAATATGTGTCTGCCATTGTGTATTATTCTAAATCATTTAGCCTGCATTCACAAATGAATTTCATCTTCCTTTCTGCTATAGCTGACCAAGCCTGACATGCTTCATGTTGACCCAGCCCTGTTGGAGTATTCAGACTGGAGGGGACACACATTGTAAGTGTAATAAAGCACTTATTTTCTCAGAAAGCTCCTAGTAAAATACCTTTTGAACAAGACATTTCAAAGTAGTCATTAACCTTCCGTCTTGCTCTTTTTCAGCCTGAGAGAAGAGGTGGCAAAGTTCCTGACTCACTACTGCTGTTCCCCAAAGCCGCTTGAAGCTGACAATGTGAGTGAGGTTTATTACTTTTCAAGCTAGAATGTAACATACAGTAAGTGATGTGAACAGTACGTGTAGGACGAGTGCTACAGTTTTAAATGGATTTAATCATAAGCAGGGTTTTGGAAAGCACATAAATAGCAGAAGTAGAAAATATAACAACATTTAATTACTTATACATATACTTAATTACATACACTTTGTAGAGTAAGCGCATCTCTGGTTCTTTCATTTAATAGTACAACAGCCACATTATGACTGCAGATGCATTGTAGTGGTTAAACAAGCTACAGTTAATATGTAATATAACCCATTAATAGTGTGTAAATTACATGTTCTTGTATACAGTAGTCAATAATTAATCTCTGCAAACCTTATCACTACGTGAATATTTTGTGTGTGCTGAAGCAAGAACATTTTGGGTTCATGGCCTGTTTTGTTTAACCCACTGGGACATCCTTATCTGAAGATGATATGTTACATAGTTTTGGGAATTCACGTGGGAGCCAAAAGTGAGCTGTGAACAAAGAGGCAGTATGCTGCTGCACTGGGGTAGTGTAGTGTGTGTGTGTTCCGAAGAAGGACGGAGAGCGAGACCCCGGACGGGGGATGTGACGGACTTGACTGTGCTTATGCCCTAAAAAAGACTGACCCACTCTGTGACAATCTTCTTGTCTAATACTGCATTTATTTCTTTCAGGAATGGTGGCTCTGTCCCCTATCTTTCAGACTGCTGATTATCTTTCAGTATTGTTGAACTGTTTCGTATTAGTGTAATAATAAATGCTTTTTGGAATTGGAATGATGTGCTTGAATTAATTTAGTTCACAGCAAACCTCAACAACCACAGCATCTGCTGTACTGCCACCTGATTCACCTGCAGCATTCATTCATCATTTCGAAGTCTAACTGCATCTACTCTTCAGAATGACTTTTGACTCTGTTACTTCTGATCATTTGCATTTGCACAAGTGAAAGGTGCCTGAAGAACCTTTACTTTTAATAAGGTAATGTTACATTGTGATGTTGAATAGGAAACTATTTCATTATCTTTTCCACCACAAACATAAAATATTTCCTTTTTGGGCTTATGTTATTAGTAAATCTGGTTCAGTTCCTGTGATTAATACTAATGTCCAGCGAATGATGTAATTACTGACAACTAACCCCTTTTTTGCTACAGAGGACATTCTGGATTATAGCCATTCATTGTAGTTAATTTATTCATCTGAGTCATTAATGGTGAAAAAGATGCTAAATGCCACAACTGAACAAACACAGTTTTAAGGGCGACCAGCTTAATTTATAAAGATGTAATTTGTAATGAACCCGTGGCATATTTATCAGGCCTCCTTGAGCGTTAAGTGGGTATTTTGTAATACAGCAGATATGTGTGTTTGTTCAGGTCGTGGTGATGAATGGCGGTACTTCTCTCTTCTCATGTATTGCTGCAGTAATTTGTGACCCTAAGGGTAAGTTCACAAATACACTGAGATGCACAAACGGTACCTCTATTACAAATATTACAACAGCAATGGGAAGGGAAATCTAGCCAAGGTGTTTTTTTTTTTTGGGGGGGGGGGGATTTTAAAAATGATTATCATATAAAGTATAGCAGAGAATGGGTAGGCTGTAGCATAATAATTTGAACAAAACACGTTTTTCAAAATTATTTGGTCAGCTACATAAATTATTCCTTAGTGCCATGGCAAACAAAGCCTCATTTTAAGCAATGAGGTAGATTTGTTTTGCTCAGTAACTGTCCTAATATAATATTCACAAGCCTGAAAAGCAGCCCGTGTTTATCTGTTTACTACCAGCTTGGATCATGTTGGTGCTAATATGCCCAGCTATATTAGATTAGCCAGTTTTTATAAGTGGTGGATTTGCCTCTAAACTGCACTACTACTAACCTAAATAGAAGCTTACATGAGTCATTAAAGACAGGTCACGTATACATCAGTAGATTAGATACATTATGTGTGTGCGTGCTTAAACAACTGCTTAAAGTTAAGAGGTGATATATGTTTCTATGTGAATGTCATGTGGTTATTGTGTTTTTCATGTTATAGATGCCATTCTCATTGCGACTCCTTTCTATGGTATCATTAAAGAGGATGTCGGTCAGTATAGTGATGTGAAACTCTATCATGTTCCTCTTGACTGTGAGGTAGGAAAGCAGAACCTGATTTACTTGCTGAAATTATGCATTTGTAATGTTTGACCATCTTACTGAGCGTATGACATAACTCACATTTGAAGTGTATCGTGTGATCTGGTGTGTTAGCATGGGTTGTCAGCTCTCCAGATTGAATGTTGATATATTCTCCCTTTTCCTCCTGTTTTTCTTTATTTATAGCCTGATGGCAAAGACAGCCGACCCTTCCATCTCACTGTAGAGAAACTAGAAGAAGGTCTGATAAGGGCCAAGCAAGAGGTACTTAATGAACC